GTGTATAATTAATTGTGTTCACAAAAACAGCAATAATTAAACACCATCGCTAATTGACTAAAAATTCCATCTAAATCATTCATGATTAAGTAACACTTACGTCATCATTGTCAGGTGTTGAAAACATTCCCACACCTGCCATTTTGGGCGGGTTCGCGAGGACGTAAAGACGGTGCTGAAAAACCATCGGTATGAAAAAAGGACCAGGAAAGCAAGTATTGACTTTTCTTAATATAAATGTGTCATCACCTTCCTTGTGAAAGCCAACATCTTTGAATCAAACTTCATCTTTGAATCAAACTTCAAGTTCCTAGACTTCAAACTCCATGAAATATGCTATGATATGCATGCATATGCATATTGATATGCATAATTTGCATCTAATAGTGTAGATGACCTTCCGTTAACTGTATCTAATAGTATATCTTATGAAGGCGTTTTTGGAACACCTTGGCCCCAACATCAATGAGACAAATGCTGCAGAACTGCACATCGTATTGGTCAGTTGGAGGCCATCCTCAAATGTATTGATTCAGACTTAGCTGTAACCCGGGGGAGTGGCTATCATCACAAACGTGATCCCAGTGAGGACATCTTTGAGCTTGTCGAACAGTACGAGCAATCAAGAGTGCTTGATTATCAGCCAGGCAGGCTGGTAATATTTTTCTTTTTTTTATTCAATACAGTATGTATATTTTTATCTTGCATTTCATTGAAGTATATTTTTTTGTTTTTGCCACAGCAACCAAGGTTGGGAGTGTGAAAGGGTCAGCATAAAGTCCTGTGTGTTGGATGGGCAGTGGGAATAGTGGGCCTAGGAACGGTAGTCACCAAGGTGTCGGTCAGCCACCAACAGCATGTCAGGATACAGCCTTGGTTCGAAAATCAATCAGAAAGAGGACACTGACCAAGGTGAGATTTACACTGAATTACACTAAGATCCATTTTATGATGATAAGATGACATAGTTCCATGTGTTATCTTATTCTAAGCCGTGATATGTGTGTAGGGGCTCTCTCTAGCGAGGGTATGAGGCAGGGAATAAGCTTCAGTTGGGCCATGCCAGAAAGGATAGCTGTGACAGAAAGAGCACGGTGCTGTGGGCGTTGTGGGAGGGAAGGGCATAACGTGAGAACATGTACAGCAGACATAAAAAGTGACCCAAATTAAAACTGTATGTAATGCTTTACTTGAAAACTTGGATGCACATGTATGTTCAAACTGTAACTTCACTGTACATACTAAACACCAGACCAGAAGTCTGTGTTTTATTTAATCTTGATCAGATATATATCTTAGATATAGTCTTTCCTTTACTAATTACCTGCTAGTTACCTGTTAGTTATTGCGGCCATTTTTAAATAGTTTAATATACAAGTTGCAAAATGCAGTCTCTGTCACCTCAATTATCATTATGTCCTTTTCCAAATAAATTAAGTGATTCAAATACATGTTGCATGAGGGTGCTATTTGTTTGCAAGTATAGAGTTTGCTCATTTGACAAGTGTGGAAAACTCCTACTCATCACCAAAAGATTTAACACCGGCTCAGCCCTGACAATCAAGTATGACTGTCCAAACGTTAACGAGGGAGTCTCTCAGCCATATGTCGTTAACACAGAACGTCTGAAGGCAACGTTCTCATCCCTGCTGCAGTTCTATATTATGGTCGAGCATGAGACCTCCAAAAGTTCGCAGATATTTCCTAAGCACTAAACCTTCAGTTCTTTGGAAAAACTCACTTTCACAATGTACAACGAACATTCCTGCTATTCGTATGTATATAATTGTATGTATATAATATACATTTACCGTAGCCAATCTTTTTTCTCAAGTGCGTTTTTCGCACTCATGTCCGGTGAGGAAACAGATGAGGACCACGAGAACACATGGTTGGTTCGACGACCAGCCTCGCGCTCCAACAGACTGACCATGATAATCGACCAGCTTCAGGCAGGTGTAGAGCATTTAATAATAAGTGCACTATTCTTATAGTATTATTACTGTATGCTATCATCCATGATATTGTTAAATCTAAGATTATTTTTCTCCCACATACCTATCCACATTTTAGATTTCTAGATTAACTTTAGTTCCAGCTACCTTACTGAATTCAGTTTACGAATTTTTTCCAAACCGACAGCTTCCAATGATAACGATTGAATGGAACGTAACTTTCATGTAAACGTCAATTATTGTGCCTTTTAAATTTACATAGAAAAAAAAAATTAAAGGCATTAACATCCAGCAAAGCCATCTAACTAAGCCGAGCAAGCCCCCACCGAGCCACAAGCTCAGTCCCCGAGGTCTGGGTTTCCAAGAGGCTTGGCAGCTTCTTAATCTAGCTGACTAAAACACCCCGAGTAAGCTGGATGTTCTGCCGTTTCGTCAGCGTTTGCCATTTTGTCACCTATGAAATACTCCCTATTCACGCCGCCGCCATCTTGGATCGAAAACGAGGCCGGGTGGGCAAACAGAAAATATGGCCGCTCCCTCCGCTTCCACTACGTGGAGTAGAAACCTGGCGCGCGTGCCGCCACTAACTCAGCAAATTGTTGATGACTGGGCCAATGAAACAGCCAAAATCCCAAGGGCGAAACAAACTAAGGGATACTCGAATTTTATCGAGGGATACATTCATGACGTTGAAGGTACGTGGCTTCGTTGTTGCTTCGCAGAAAAATCTTTAATGCATGCTAACTTGCACCGCTCATAGCTGCAGTTCCGGCACACATATGTCACACGCACGCCGCCGTGTTGCCTCTGAACAATGCTGACGTGATAGTAACACCAGGGCAGCAAGAAAACGAACTATTGTCCTTCTTTTGGGGGGGAAATCGGAGTAGTTGGAAACTACGCGATCTTCCGCGTGTATCGCACATGGACGTCAAATTATGCATATCGCCGCGCCGGCAAAGCTCTAATATTCCAAGCCGCTGTACACAGCTTGTTTTTTTTCGTCCTTTTTTCCAGAGATTTGTGCACATAATACATAATATATTCAGCTGGCAGTAAATACAATAGTGAATAGTTACATAGAATATGTATTTATTGTAGCATGTTTTGGTGAATAAACTGCTGTAAATAACACACTGAATAAATTGCAAAAATTATTTGAATTTTGCTTTATGCAGTGCAAGTCCAGGCTAAAGCCACTGACAGCTGCAAAATAAGAGCTAGAGCCTACCCCTCGATGAAGAAAAATGACCCTCCATACAGCCTGACGGTATGTAGAAATTTTGACTGCCTAAATGTTCTGTTGTTTGTTGACTTATGCAAGTTGTAATTTGTTGTTGTTAACATTTCTACTTACATTTGTTTATTGCACACTGCACAGTTGTTGTCCATCTGTCTTCAAGGATACAACACAACACTCCTGGGTTGGAGTAAAACGTCCATGGGCGTGAGCATTCCTCCCTCAGTTGCACGTTTAGATATTTAAAAGGTGATGTCCAGATAAAGCAAAGTATTCTAACAACTTATAATCCAAGTCAGTATACAGGTGCACAAGAGATTGGATTTCAAAATATTCTGTCATTTGAGATATTATGCACTTTTTTGTAATAAAATACATTTTCATTGTGATATGTTAAAGAGAAAAAAAGTACTTCTGTGTTTTAAATATCTCTGTTCTGATTCACAGGTGACTGTGGCACGTGATCCTGTGACTATCCAGGCCTCCAAGTGCGGCTGTAAGGCAGGGGAAGGGCACTGCAGCCACAGTATAGGCCTCCTATACTTAGTGTGCCATTTCCTGAAGATGGGATTGACGTCTGTGCCAGCAATACAAAGTAAGACATCCCTCCCTCAGGCATGGCACATACCACAACGTACAGAAGGCCTAAATGCCTGATGCCGGTGGATTCCCTGCATATCAACAAAGTGAAACCTGTGCAGAAGGCTACTAAGCGGAAACGTGTGGCGCAAGCCGGCGTCGTGCCCAACCTGTACTGCCCAGTGCCCCAACCCATAGCAAGCGCAGAATTCACCACATCGCAGTGACGCACAGATCCTGAAGGTCCTGCCCAAGTCTCCCAACCCTCCATCTGTCCCCAGCAAGTTTGGCGCAGTTCCCCATGGATCAGTCCTCTCCTACCAACAGAAACCACAACAAAAGAATGGAGATATCATCAATCACCCATGCAAACCTACATACCCGGCTTTCCCAGTACCACCACTACCATCTACATATCATCATGTCCCCAGTCAAACAGAACAAGAAGTCTACCTTGGCTTACACCTCACACTGTCACAGGCACACGAGGTGGAGGAAAACACGAGAGACCAAAGTCACAACAAGATATGGCACGATGTCCGGTAACACAGACTCACATCCTCCATCTTCAAGCAGGTGTGTTCCAGGAAGAAGGACCATTCCAGTCTGGCTCAAAGATTCCTGTCAGCCAAAAACATACAAACTGCTGCAATGAAGTTCGGAATTGAACATGAGCCAGAGGCCGCCAAACTCTACGCTGAAGTGACAGGTAATAATGTCTACCTGAGCGGGTTTGCGATAAACCCCTCAGCCCCACCCCTTGGAGCATCGCCAGACAGGAAGGTGTACGAGCATAATGCTACAGATCCACATGGTCTGCTAGAAATCAAATGTCCAGACAAACACACATTTGAGGAATGCGATTACCTTAAGAAGAACAACAACGATGGCACGTACAAACTTAAGACAATCCATGCTTACTACTACCAGATGATGGGGCAGATGGCCTTGACTGGAATAAAGTGGTGTGACTTCCTTGTGAAGTGTAAGGATAACTATCACTTAGAGCGGGTCAGGTATGACGAGGAGGAGTGGGTTAGAATGAAAACTGCTCTTGATGTTTTCTACTTTGACTACTTCCTCCCACTGATATGCAGTAAGTGAGTAGTTTTGTGGTCCCTTCAACTTTCACCAGGGAAGTCATACCATTTTATTCCAGTCATGACCAGTTGTCCCTTTACATGTCTTCCTCATGTTCTGTTAGATGTAAATATTTAACAATACATATTGTTATATATACATATTGTTATATTGGCATATATATACATGTTTTCTCCTTAAGATATAGCTAGACACATGGAAAACCAAAATGACTCAAACTGTTGTTATCCACCATTGGCCAGATAAATTTGACTACATTTTATTATTGAGGCAATCTTACAAGAGGAATTAATAGCTTGGTTGACAGTTATCAGTATGCTAGGCTACATGCTTCATACAATTTTACATTTTCTATTTGCTAAAATTACAATACATAATATTGAAAAGAATAGTATCCATCAAATAATTTTGTGATGTGAGAAAGGTACACAAACTTCTAGCATACAATCATTTCATGGTAATAGGCCTTCAGATATTGAAACATTGTGTCTTTTGATTGCCATCAGAATAAGGGTCCTCTGAAATTTGTAAGAATGGAACATACAGTCCACACCTGGTTGATGGATGGGGCAAGGGACAGTGGGACCACCCCATCAAATATGGGATATTCCTTAATCCTCCTGATGGCTCTCTCTACATGAATTCTTAGCCTGGCTATTTCATGTGTCTTCGAAACTTCTGCTGCACTGAACTTTCCTTTCTTACCAAGGAATGGAGGGATTACCAAACTTGCTTGTTTCGTTTCAAGCATATCCTGTATCAGAAACCCCTTGTCAGCCATTACTTGATCACCAGCTTCAATCAAGTCTATAATTCCTGATTTAGCAGTGATTTCCTTGTCAGAGATTGCACCTGTGTAGAGTGTGCTCACAAATGACACCACACCACATGGTGTTATTCCCACAAGAGATTTGAAAGTGGTATGGCTTTTATAATTGGAGTAAATCTCAGAATTCAGCACCTTTGAACTGGGGGTCTGTACCTTTATCTCTGTGCAGTCAATGATAACTCTTGTCTTGGGGTAGGTCTTGCGGAAACTTTCTGGCATATTCTTATCCACAACACTCCTGGAAGGCCAGATCTCCAAACTTCCCAACATGAAGTACAAATAGTTTGCCCAGGTAATCAGCAGTCTACTAACTGAAGATTGAGACACACCAAATCTAATGGCCAAATCGTCCTCTGCGAAACCTTGTTTCACTCTGCACAAGAACATGAAAAACTGATCAATCAGAGGCAGACATCCCTCACTTTCTGTGAAAGCAGACATTTTCACATTGTCAATGTTACTTGAATGCCTCTGCATTTGAGCCCATCTGATCATTGTATTTGCTGTTGGTTGTAGGGCGTTAAACACACTGGTCAAAGTTTTATAGTTTTTGAACCCTGTGTAGAAGTTGATTGTTTGGTCATCAGAAGAAAATCGCTCTAGGTAGAACTTAAGTTGCAGCTTCTCCTGTTCTACTTCCTTGACCCGTGCCTGAAGCCTCTCAATCTCAGCATGGGCATCTCTCAGTTGTTCTATCTTTCGATGGAGGTAGGTAGTCATGTTCGGCTGATGGTGCAGGAACTGATCCACTGGAACCATTGTCAGTCAGGTCCCCTGCATCACTGGAACAACCTGGGGCTGGATTCACACTAAAATATAAAATAGAATTGAAAAACATGCCATCGCCATTTCATTGTGTATTGCATATAGTTGTAATGCTGTTTGTTTAATACATTTCCTTGTCCATAATTATCAATGTTGTATGAGTAAATAGCTTTTATTATAGTTGGGCACATAAGAACAACACAGGTTAAAAGAAACAACATAATTTTTACTCATTTAAACGCCTCCTTGGACCACAACGCTTAGTGGTAGTTTTAGTCCAGTCAAAGATGGAGGGTACAGCTCCAGCCTTCAGGTTCCTAAGGCCAATGAGTGTCCGGGTGAAGTCTTCTGCTGGAAAGTGGGCTGAGCACACTCGTGTATTATCAGACAACTAAAATTGATGAAGGGAAACATACATTGTGTGTATTACACACTTCTCAGTGTTTTGTTCTCTCTTTTTTTAAACATCCAATAATATATTGTAACCTTATTAGCAGCTGATAATTGGTAAAAGTATAAACAACATGTAAATTTATATACATCAGATTATGTACATCATGTAAATTTGAGGCAACCTTGGATTTTAGCACACTTCATTCCATGATCTTAGCTTTCATTTTCCACACAGAACGTCAGCTCTTGAAAAATAAATGGTTGTGCCGAATAAACACAGTTTTAAAGCATAAGTTTTTTTTTGCATTTATTTGCTTCAAGTCAACCGATTACATAGTGCATGTAAGATACTTAAAACATGGAAGTACAACATCGAATCAAGGTGCGCCCCCCACCCCCTACACGAACGCTAGCGACAAGTAAACATTCCGATCATTTTCCACACAGAAAACAGCGACAACAAACCAAGATAACCACAGTTTTAAAGCAAAAGTCCTTTGCATTTACTTACTTTAAGTCAACCGATTACATAGTGCATGTAAGGTACGGAAAACATGGAAGTACAACATCGAATCAAGGTGCGCCCCCCACCCCCTACACGAACGCTAGCTACAAGTAAACAATCCGAGCGTTCACATACCTGGAAATCTTTGCCGATATCACGCCTTATCTTCACAATCCAAGCTTTGCGTTGCGTACTATCTTTTGGAAACCGATGAAAACTCAGTTTTTTCTCTGGATCGTAACGAGAATCGTTTGTGCAACTCGGCACACAACAGTGGAATTTCCCCATTGTGTTCGGCCGAGGTCTGGTATGCGTCTAATACGCTTGCCCACCCGGCCTCGTTTTCGATCCAAGATGGCGGCGGCGTGAATAGGGAGTATTATCAAAATGTGTTTGGAATCCTCCAATTTGTTATCATCAAGGACAGATTTTATCTTCCAAGTGGCCCTTGTATGGATGCGGAGATGATTTATCCTTATTAAGACTTGAGAGCCCCAAAGAGGATTTTAACAAGCAACATACATAAGTATGGAATAACCACTTGCTATTGCACTTCATAAAAGCTCTTTACATGTCCCTTGTTCGAAGTAAGTTAGAGTGTTGTTCCACGGTACGGTCTCCTCACACTCATGAACTAATAGAAAGACTGGAAAGTGTACAGAGAAGCGGAACTAAATACATTCTCAGTAATTACTCCAATGATTACACGTACGAAGAAAGGTTGCTTGTTCACTCTATAATTGTCATATAGACTTGAAATTCTAGATTTGGTTTTCATGTTCAAATGTTTCGTAGGCTTTTACGATATAGATACTGACAATTACTTAACCTTTTCACATCCTAAGAAACTTATCATACTTTTCAAACTCCTTTGTGTAGGAGCCAGTACCAGCTTCTATCAAGACCTTGACGGAGGAGCTGGAGGTGTGGAAGCCACGGGTTTTGGCTGCAGAAGGAAAACTTCGGCGTAAAGTACAAAACTATTCACCAGATGGTCCCCCTGGGTTTGCTGCATCCTGCGCGTCGGCATGGCTGGTGTTCAGATACGGTAGGTACATACGAGCCACAGCGTTCAGAGAATCATAAACACACCTACGCCCAAAAGGCAGCTCAGGTAACTCTCTCCAAATACGTTCACGCCTGTCATACATGAAAACCTGTTGAGGTAGGCTGGACTCGTCATCACTCAGGCAATAGTTGACAAGTGCATGGAGTGTGTTTTGGAGTACAAAGAGATCTCCATCTTCAATTGTCCTGAATCCCTGGGGCTGGATGCTCAGACCAGCTGTCTGCTTCTGTATCGTACTCCAACATGTTGAAGAAGCCAGGATCCGTCCAAAAGATCTTTGTTCCCATGGCGAGTACCCGACCGTAGTCAACTCGCACTTCAGGACCGTAGTCTGACAAGGCTTTCCTGAACCACCAGTCTTCCCTCGGGTCGTACCAATGCATCTCTGTATGTGTGAAGAGGTAGATGCGCTGATTGCAGGACACTGCAAAGGTGACGTCCAACAGATCACCATCTTCAGGTGTTGAACAGTTGTGCCACTCATTTGTGTGCTGGTTGTATTTCTTGAATGCCATCACTGGCCATGTTACAAGGTAAAAGATCATGTCCTTTGATTTCCATAAGGTAGTCATTTTGGTAGACTTCCCATTTCTCTAGGTCCTTCGGACACGGTCGACTTTTGTTCCCACTTGTTCTCAACATGGTTGTATTTACACAGACAGATGTGTGAATCTGCAGCTAAGACAGAGACCTCATTATCGTGTGTAACCACACCATTATATGTAGATACTGGTAGGTTGTAGTCACACCTGACGTACTTCCCTTCTCCTTTGTTCATCCACAGCATATTTTTTGCGTCATAGTTTTTAGACAGCAGAACCATTTCCGTGGTCATCCCAAGCCTCGGCTTCAGGTTGGGTTCCTCTGTACCGCATTCCTGATTACCTCAGATTCAGAACTCCCAGGATCCTCCTTGACCAGGGGATGTTCCAAGATGGCCGCCATGTCGTCTGAGGTCAGCAAGTTGAAGCGGATGTGAGGGAGGATGCTGGGTAGGTGCTGCAGTCTGTCCTCCCTGCCGTGCTGCACCCATCTCACCACAGCCTCCCACACTCCTGTCTCCTCTTCAACATCCAGCTCATCATGGCTGATGATCTCAGTGAGCTGATCCACACTCCACAGGCTGCAGAACTCCTCACTCCTCACTGGAGGAAACCTCCACAAAATGCTGACATATATACTCCAGACAACGGTTCAGAACAACATGAGTTTAGGGATGGACTTGCACAAGTAGCAAAAGAGCTACGTCGTCTCCTACACCAATGGTCCGATACGAAGCTGTTTACAAGCATCATCTGATAGTTTTCACCCGTGTCAGATGTGAGGGGATCTGGTCCAGGGCGTCCAAGGAAGAACATGACGTCGATGATGTCCTACATCACATCATAGAGCTAGACTACACGATAACCAGGTGATAACGGACCTTGCTAAGAAATATGGCGTACATCGCTCAACCATGTAGACATTTGAAGGAGGATGGCATTGACATAACAGAAGACACATACAGCGACCTCAGTCAAGAGGACATAAACCACATTGTAAGGAGAGCCAAACAAGACCATGGCTTCAAGGAGATGGAGCAGAAGGTTATGTTTGGATACTTACGGTAAGGTAATATTGTCATCACCCTAAATACATTTGGCGATTTTTTACTATCCTGTGCACGTGTCAATGTGAGGACGACAGATGCTTGTATCAGCATAATCAGGAGTATTGACATAGGCATAAGGAGTACATGTTAAATTCAAGTTAAGTATTTTAGAGGATCAAAAATAAAAAAAAAAAACACTGACGATACAGTCATACCTGTCCAAGCTACGAAGAGCCACCAGCACAAAAAAAAAAGATGTGGGACCATCAAACTGTGCAGACGTTAGTCAAAGGTTACCAACAAGCCGGTACCTTGCAGACAAGGCAACAGATCCTGTCTCTTTTTGCCGACGATTACAGCAAGCAGGACCTCAAGGAGCTTATCCCTGGGCTATCGAAGTGGCGAATTGACCAAGCCAGGGCCCACGCAGCTGAGGCAACACCAGGAAAACCTGTACAACAGCAACAAATATACAGAACATGTCTAAACCCAGTTAAGTTTTAGTGTTTTTTTTTTCTAGCTGAGTTCTGTACTAAGGCCACACCAATGTAATTTGTTGGTTCTCGGATTTTTTCAGAAAAAATATTAAGCGACAAGGCGAAAAAAAATAAAAACAGGTCTAGGCATCCTATTATAGGCTTAAATGCTACAAAATGAGCCATGAAGTCAACACAAAAGGCTGGGTTAAAATTTAACATTGAATTTTGAACTTTTAATCAAACCACTGCAATGATAGATGGGAAAACTGTAACAACTAGGAAGAAAATGACTTTCCTCAACTGTTGGGGGGCAAAACATGAGCATTTTTCAGTTGATTCAGGACCAGAATCAGTTTTTTTTTGCAAATCAGAAAAAAACGAAGAGGCGAATCCGAGAACCAACAAATTAAATTGGTGTGGCCTAAGTATCACCTTTCAACGTTTGAGGGAGGTAGGCGGTTCTTGGAACCAACTGACCACATGCGTTTTGACTGTGAGTGATTTCCAACCAAGGAACAAGAGCTCGGAGAAAAACCGGAACCAAAGACAGACCAAGCAGTCTATGGACAATAGTGACAGACATCACAGGATAATTTGACCAAAAGAGGAAGGAGCAAAACAGAAAAGGCCATAAGTATGTACATCTAAAATCACGAACATTAACGAAAGAAATTTTAAAAAATACTCGTCTCACGTGTTGATTCCATGTAGATTAATTAACTTGGTTTACTTCTAGTACTAGTACTCACATATGTAGATTTCCGTAATTATATCATGGTCGCTTGTGCATGCAAAAAAAGAAACATCAAATATAAGTGTCCTTTATAAAGTAGAAAAACCTTTGCAGAAGATTCAACCAGAATACGATGATATAATTTCTTACATACATTTTATAATGTATGTTTTGCAGGCAGAGCAGGTAATCAAGTACACACAAGCCTTGTTTTCAAAAGAGGAAAAACCAGTAAGAGCTGTGGCTGTATGCATGCCAAACCTGTACCTATTCAGCACAAAACACCAGTCCAGAACATACTTCCACGCAATAAACTACTGCGCCAGTTGAAGAGCATGTATGTGCAATCCTACCGCACAGGAACCCAAAGATGGAAACAGCACTTCAATGACAGATGTCAGAAGCTGTATCCTTGTGCGATACAGCGAATTGTCAGAAGGGCAAGTCGAAGCACTTGCGACCATCATTGGTCCCTGGAGGTGTGGAAGCGGCGGGCTCTGGCCGCAGAAGGAAAACTTTGGCGGTAAGTACATACCAGATGCTAACGAGTACGAGAGCGGATATGGAGAGGCTGCAGATCAACAGGAAGACACTACGTGAGGAATTGTTTCATAATAGTTCCAACTATAGCCTTAATGCAATCATATATGACCTGATAAAGGAGAGAAAGAAGTCCGTGTGCCGTATCAACTGGCCGGGGGGTTCAGGAACAGGATTCCTGTTGAGCAAGGGGAAGGTTCTAACATGTTACCATGTGTATGAAGGTATGGTCAGAGCCAGACGAATGTTCACTGATTTGGGTCTGTACACAGCAACATTCGTTTTGTCTGCAAGCGAGGAATGCAAAGTCCGCTTCCATTTTTCAATGCTGAAAGGTCATTGTGAAGAGCTAGATTATGCTATCCTTAAGTTGGCAGTTGATGATGAAGTGGAAAGCACGCTTGATAGCTTGCCTTTTCTTGGACGCTTCCTCCCATTAGTTGAAGATCACAGAAAGATGGTGGTTGTTGTGGGCCACCCTTATGGTGGGGACAAAATGGTTGACTTCTGCCACATGGCGGCTTTGGAAAGGCATCATATCATCCATGTCATGTTTGGGAACCCACATTTTCCCCAAGAAGATGCACGCAAGCCCCTGTACCACACAGGTGTGATGTTCCATGGTTCCTCAGGCTCCCCAGGGTTTGACACACAGGGTAATGTGGTGCTCATGCACACCAGGGGATTCTTCCCCGAAAGTAGCGGGCAAAGCCTTATTGAGCGCGGGGTCCGTCTGACTGCTATCAGAGACCATGCAAGTCAAACCTTGGAACCTGAGGTTTTCAGAGAGATCTTTCCATAAGGCCACACTATTTCCAATTGTTGTTTCTTCACTTAATTTTTTTTTTTTTTCAATTTCCAAAACGAAAACCAACATGTACCATTCAGGTTCTGAATTAACCCCCCAAAATGCTCATTTTGGTACCAGACAGG